AGTTGTAAGACACTCACTGCATCCAGAGAGCACACTGGTCAGGCTCTGCCTCACACCCACTGCCTGCAAAACCCCACTCTGGTTTTTGAGTCACAGGATCAGCACGGCATCCAGGGGTTGTCAGGGCCCTCTGGAGCTCCCCCAGTGCAACCCCTGCCAGAGCAGGATCACCAGAGCAGTCACACAGGAACACGGCCAGGGCTTTGGGTGTCTGCAGACAAGGAGACTCCACAACCTCTCTGGGCAGCCTGGGCCATGCTCTGCCACCCTCACAGTGAAGAAGTTTTTCCTCATGTTGGGCTTGCACTTCCTATGCTCCAGTTTGTGACCATCGCCCCTTGTCCTGTCTCTGGGCACAACCGAAAAGAGCCTGATCCCATCCTCCTGACACCCTCACAGTGAAGAAGTTTTTCCTCATGTTGGGCTTGCACTTCCTATGCTCCAGTTTGTGACCATCGCCCCTTGTCCTGTCTCTGGGCACAACCGAAAAGAGCCTGATCCCATCCTCCTGACCCCACCCTTTAGATATTTATAGGCATTAATGAGTCCCCCCCTTCAATCTCCTCCAGGCTGAACATCCCCAGCTCTCCCAGCCTTTCCACCTATGGGAGATGCTCCAGTCCCTTATCATGTCAGTGACTCCACACTGGACTCTCTCCAGTCACTCTTTGCCCTTCTTGAACTGGGAGCCCAGAACTGGACACAATATTCCAGATGTGTATGAGTTCATGTGTCACAGGTGAGATGGGCCCCTTTTAAGGGACAGTCTAAGATGCTCGGGCTTCTCTCATCTGCAATGACTTTTATGGGGGTCTGGGTGATGGAGCTGCTTTGAGCAGGATGAAAAACTCATGATCCAGGAATTCGTCCAGGCTCAGGAATGTATGGGGGGGGCACAGAGAGTGTGTGAGTAATTGGCAGCAAAGGAGTGGTGACACAGAAAAACACCTACCTGTAATACAGAAAACAATCTTCAGGTCATCTTCTGTGGATCAGACTTTTGAATATATACTTCTATATTATGTATAAAATTGTATTTCCTCCCAAACCCCACACCTGCTGACAGAAGCCCAGATTCACAGGTGTCAAAGGACTGACTGGAATTGTCCTCATCAGACATCCCAGGTCCAGCAGTGACTTTCACAGGGGAAAGCCCTGGGAAAAGATGGGGGGCAGTGGTGCAGGAGGACAAGGCTGTCCTGGCCTAGCTGGATTACAGAGTAGACACAGAGAAGCTGCATGTGGCTGAGAGAAGGAAATGGGTTAACAGTGGTATTTCTTGACTCTGTCCTTCAGTGCCATTCTGAATTTGGTTTTATTGCTGCCCTGGTGCAGGGAGTCCACCACCATCTGCTCTGCAAAGCCAACCATGGCACGAAGGTTGAAACTCACCCCATGTTTCTGGAAATGCAGGCTCTCCTTTCGTTCCTGTTGGGCAAAAAAACACCACTGTTTGCTCTTCACCTTCCACACCCTGCCCTTCTCTCCTCCAGCCCTTGGCATCATTTGCTTGTCAAGGCAAATCCCGCTGCACTGGCAGAGGGCTGTGGAGTTAGGGGAAGTGTTCAGCTCACCTGCACACACAAGAAGGGCACAGAGAGTCAGGAGGAGTCACTCAAGGTCTGCTCTGCCCCGGCCACTCCCAGACCCACCAGAGGAGAACCCCCAGGCCCATCTGCACAGACCCAGGAGAGCACAGAGGGACAACAGTGGCTGGGAACCCACATCACAGACTCTTGTAGTTGTGACCAGCAGCCTCAGTCACTGGGAGAAGCTCTTTGGGTCACCTCTAGCAGGTCCACAAGGTGGCTGCCGGTGGGGTGAGACACATTATAGATGCACAAGGAGCAGCAGCCTTGCCTCCCTGGGGCTCTCTGCATTGGACCCAATGTGGTATATTTTCCCCTGACATCTGGTTTGGGGCTGGGAGGTCCAAATGGCAAGACTGACCCAAGAAGTGTCTCTGTTGGACACAGCTGCTCTGCCTGCTGCTAGCCAGCCCATGGAGCTGAGTCCCAGCATCTTGTGCCAGTGAGTCCCATGGGGCTGGGACATGTGGGACTGGTAGAGAGACAAGCTCCTCTGGTGACTGTTTCAGCCGAGCCCCTGCCTTTTGCCATAGCACAGGAAGATCAGAGGTCAGCCCAAATCTGGCTGGTCCCTCAGGCTGGGGGGGTGAACCTCTGATGTTTCTGGAGCTGATGGTGTTGGGCAGCAGCATCAGGAACCCCCTGTTGCAGGTTTGGGAGAGGGGTTGCCCACACCACCTACAATGGGCCACAGATGTCACCAAACAGCCCCATCCCACCCAGTGGGATAATTTTATTTCTCTCTAGTTGCTCCCACATGGTGTATTGCTCCAGAACAGCACAGGGTGGAAGTTTAACCAAACCAGCTCACACAATAAACTCAGCACAGTGTGATTTACCTTTGGGTCCTGGGTAACCAGGCTCTCCAGCTACTCCTGCAAGAGACAAGAGGAGAATACTCATCACAGATGACTCAACACACGGAAATTACTGTGGCTCCCCAGGTGGCTGCTCCATATGTCCCAAATGTACAAGAGAGGATGTCAAGTGGTGCAGAGCCATGCTGAGTGTCCCAGCTGGTGCTGCCAACCCACCCCTTTTCAGGAAGAGCAGGACACAGGAGAGAGGGAACTGCTGCTGAGTGCATGGTGGATTCACAGCTCTGGGTCACTTTTTGTGGGGGCTTTCTGTTTTCAGTCAGACCCCAAAAGATTTTGGGCAATAGCTGCTTTGTCAGTGGGTTCATCCATCCCCTGGAGGGGTTTCAGCTGAAGCCTTGGGTGCTTTAGGCCAGGAAACAGCTCACATTCAACATGCACAGGGCTGTTTTCCCAGCTGGTCAATGAGCCCGTGCTCAGCGCCTGGGTGCCACCTTCTGCTGGGAGCTGGTTTCTTTGGAGGAGATGCTTTTCCAATGTCCACAGCACACAGATCCTGCTGAGGACCTTAAGCACAGCCTGGATGGAGTGCAAGCAGATTTCTCAGCAGACCTTTTCCTCTTTCCAGAGGCTCATCCCATGGCAAAGAAACTCCAATTCCCTCCTTGCTTCACCCTGTGCTAGCTGTTTCCTGGTGGTCTGAGCCCACTCTTCTGGTCAACTGGGCTCCAGCTGCATCACACACCAAGGGTAGGAGTGGAGAGTGGACAGGGGCCTGATTTTAGGGTGAGGGTCAGTGAGGAACTTTGAGAAGAGGAGTAATGTCTTCCTCTGTGATGTGGTCCCACCCAAGGACACTGTTTCTACTGTCACACACACAAAGCCCATGCATGACCCATACCTACACCGCTTTGGGTCTGTTTCTTGGACTCCAGAGTTCATCTCTAGACCCAGTCTCCCCGTGCATGCCCTGAACTTGGGCAGACTTGAGGATTAGAATTGAATGTGCTAAGTATTACCTTTTGCACCAGCTGGTCCTGCTTTCCCGGGGAGTCCCTGGGCCCCCATCTCTCCTGCAAGGAAAGATGCAGTTTGTATGTGCACATTGCAAACTGACCAGCGGGGAGATGATGCAGGAGCCCGGGCAGCTGGGCCTTACCTTTAGCAGAAGCAAGGAACCTGTGTTTTGTTAATTAGAGCCAATCTTGAGACATACTTTACTGCGTTTCTTCTACTGAAGCTACACTAATCTGGCACTGACAGTGTAAGCCCTAATTTGCAGTTCACAAATGAATTCCTATGAGTTTTATACACCTTGGAGACAGACCATGGATTTTGCATGGTGGATCTGCTCCCTCTGCTAATGTGATTTAACTTCCCTGTGCAAATCCTGACGGGTTCCCATCTCCCTCGCTTCCCGGGGCAGGGGGTGCCAGTGCCGTTCCCAAACTATTCCCCAGTAGACGTGCAGGAGCATCACAGCCCCCCTCCCACCCAGGCTCAGTCCAAAAGGGGTTTGGTAAGGGCTCGGAAAATAAAGGGGTGTTTTTATTGTAGAAGAAACAAGTTATGACACTTCACACCCCGGGAATGCTGCAGACTTGTGAGGGCAAAAAAGACGACTCCGTGTGTATCAGCACACCCCTAGAGGGGCTATTTTCTGCTCCTATCCAACTCTCACTGCTGCTGCAGCTGCCGCCTGCTTCCCCTACCCAAAGCAACCCAAACCACCTCATATCACAGTGCTCAGTGCTGGCTTTTGGGGCCTCACCTTTGGTTCCTGGGAGACCTGGTTCTCCTTTTGGGCCAGAGGCACCTGGGATCCCTGGGCATCCCTGGAGAACGGCGAGCCGGTCAGCATCACCGAGTCCCACTATTCTCAGCTCTGGAAATGAAGACAGTCTTTGTGGAGATTATCAAGGCTCTGAAATGTCTCGGACAGGAACCTGAACCTTCTGGAGTTCAGGAACGGTGCAAGCAAAAGCAATGAAGGTGGAAGTTTGGAGGTGTCGTACGGGCTAACAGATGACATGGAGGATCCCACATATTAGAGGAGCTACACACCAAATCTCTGGCTTCAGGGGAGTTCAGTGGGAGAGGAGGCTGTTATATATGGCATTACATGCATGACAAACATGCTGTAGCTTAACAAAACAAAAGCCGAATGTGCCCTGGGGGAATTTGACAGCAAACATTGAAGAACCTGTGGACAATGAATGTTCTACCAAATTTCCTGACAGCAGGTCAGTTTGCAATCACCCTTATCACTGTTCTGAGGAATACAGGCAGAAAGCTGTGTTAGCACAGCATCCCCAAGCTGCCGGGGTGCCTGGCACACAGCAAGCGCTTGACTGATCTGCTGTATTGCTCTGTGTCATTTAGACAATGCACCACGAGCAAAAACCCTTCCCCAGGGTGGGAAACCTCAACGGGGACAGCCTGGAGATCCCACTGGTGACCTGGGGAGGATGCTGCATCTTCAGCTGCAGCCAGTGGCTTTGTAAAGTGGCTGCTGAGACCTCATGCTGAGACGTCATCCTCCCCTTCACCCTCCTCCTGCTTGCAGCTGAATTTTAAAAAACATAGAAGGGAAAAAATCATATCCCCCATCCTGTCCCGCAAGCTCCTGGTGTGATGGGGGGATATGAAACCAGCTGTCTCAGCAGGGTGGCAGCAGGATTTGTGCCCCACTCACCTGGGCAGGTGTCCTGGCCATCACAAACGGTCGCTGTTAGGCTGAGCAGGGCCAGGAGGGTTGGAGCTGCCCACCCCATGGCTGGCACCGCTCTCTGTGCGCCTCTCCTCATCCACGGCCCAGGCACTGTGGTTAGCACTGCCCCATCTAAGCCTTTTATACCCAAGGAAAAGCCCCAGCCTAAGCTCCACCTCTGCGCTTGCCCACTGCCTGCTCCCAGGGCTGGGACCCAGTCTGGGTCTGATGCTGTTCCTCAGATAAGCCACTTTCCACAAGTCTGATAAGAAAGTCCTTGCCTGGTTGCCTCAGCTTGACAGGATGAGCAGATGCCTCTGAGCTGCCAGGAAAGGAGAGGACTACGCAGGACAGCTATAGAGTGACTTGTACACCCCTCTTCTCTCATCCGTACAGCCTGTGCTGCCCATCTGGGATGGACTTGTGTCTGTCCCATGGGGCAGGTGGAGAAGAGCCAGCCCCTAGCACTGAGAAGCCTTCTCCTACCCAGTGCTTTATATCCTGTGCTCGGTGCCTGGAAATGGCAGTGATGCCTTGATCCAACCATCTGGAGGCAAAAGCTGCTGCCCTCAGCTGCTTCCCTTGGTAAATCACTGCAGACAGCAATGGTAAAACTGGCCTTGCAGATTACCCCATCACTACAGCCTCTCCAGGGCTCCAGGCTAGATCTGCCCTACTAAATTAAAAAAAAAAAGGCAAATTGAATGTGTTGCCCAGCTTTTCCCAGTTGAAGCGTTAGCACTGCGGCCAGCTCTGGGCTGGGCTGAGAATGCACGTTGTGGAGAAGCTGTGATGTATCTGCCCAGCACCGATGCACCCCCGTCGGTGGTACCTGCTGTGGGTGTCATCCAGCCTGGGGGACACCTGGGGATGTCCCTTTTCTTCCATCCGAGGAAAGCAGCAGTGTCCTTGTGGATGCAGCTATTTTTGGGAAGCTACCAATGAACAAGCTGGGTTCAAAGTAGGTCAGGCCCCTGAGGGTAGATTTTGAAATTGGTCCAGTGATCAATATGTCCTGTAATTGCTTTTCCTTATCCCAGGATCCAGTGAAGGTTGCTGAGGGCTGATCATTTGCACCATCAGCAACTCTTTTTCTATGGAGATTGTCCCTTGAGCCCTGGGAAATGGCTCAAAAAGTCCAGGATCACTTTGGGGATGCAAAAAGAAGGATTTTAAGCACACTGGGTGAATGGGGAGCACTTCTGAACACTGTGACCCATCACTTCACCTCTAGAGACATAAATGCCAAGGGTGAAGTCCCCAGAATTGAACTGATCTGCAAATGCCCAAGAAATTAAGCTTAGCAAACCAGAAGGCACAATCAGATGACAGAAGAGCTTCAAAAAGTTCATGTGGGAGCACCATGACTGTGTACAACAGGGGATTCAGCACTGATTAATTCAAAATTGTAGGTGAAATCCTGGCTCCTGGTAGGATCCTGGGGCTTTGCTGCCACCAGGACGCTAGATGTTTGCAGGGAGGATGGGGTACCTAAACCACCAAGCAGCAAGCCCCGGTCATTGTGTTCCCCTGTGCTAACATAAGGACATGGCCACACAACTGCTACTGCTGCAAGAAGGGCAGACAGCTGGCACTGGGGAGCTGGGAGCTAAATTCTGACAGAGCTGATGTTAAGTGATGGGAAATAAGAATTTGCTTGAGAACTGGCACCATTGCAGGTGCTCATGGGGAGCTTCCATGCACTTTGGAGACTTGCCTTGCTGGGAAAGAAGCGGTGTCAACCTGCAAGGGTAGGTTATCAATCAAAGGAGCAAGGAAAGATATGCTGCTGGCTTTTTACAAGGGCAGGAAGTGACAGAAAGAGGGGGAATGATTTTAAACTGGAAGATGGCAGATTTAGACTGGATATTGGGCAGAAATTCTCCCCTGTGAGGTGGTGAGGCCCTGGCCCAGGGTGCCCAGAGAAGCTGTGGGTGCCCCCTCCCTGGCAGTGCCCAAGGCCAGGTTGGACGGGGTTTGAGCAGCCTGGGCTGGTGGAGGTGTCCCTGCCCATGGGGGTTGGACTGGGGGGTCTGTGAGGTCTCTTCCTGAACCATTCTGTGATTCCATGATTCTGCCAAACATCACATTTCCAGCCTCATAAAACCCATGCTTGTGTAGACAGCCAGGAGCCATCACTCAGGAACAAGCTGCTCCTGTTTGAAGCTTCCCATCAGGCACCATCTGCTCCCCTTGCCTGCTTTCAAGGATCAGAGGTAAGGACAGCAGTCACCTTAATTAGTTATGGTCTGTTGTGATGTTCATGGAGAGAGTGGTCAACACTATTTTTGTTTCATCCGGCAGGGAAGAGCTACTCTCAGAGCATTTATTAGCAGTAGCTGCGAACATTTCTTAAGAAAAAACGTGTTTCAATAATATCCTTAATGCAATGCATGCTCAGGCTAGCCCCTAAAAGGCCCTTCTGTTCTTCCCACCCAGGCCTCATCCACTACAAGAATGTTCTGAGCTCATTGCTGAAGCTTTCCATGCAATTCCCTTATTATAATTCCAAAATGAAGTACAAGGGAGTGTAGAAAAATGTCATGTAGCGTTCAAATGTCTCCTTCATCTTCTAGAAAAGAAGAGGGTACTTTGTATTACAACATAGCTCACTGTCGGTCTGTGGAAAGGCACTGATGCTTGCAGGAATGAGAACGACTTGCCAGGAAATAGAAAATCAAACTGTTTCCAGAACTGTTCACTATTGTTAAATATATGGGTTTATATTGGTGAAAACTCTCAAGTTATTGATTTCCAGGGTAACTGCAAGATGTATCTACTCTAGATTTTAAAAGAGAAGTACGCTGAGGACAAGGTTGGCTGCATGCAGTCTGTTTGGGAGTAAAGTGCTGTTTTTCCTCTGCGTGCTGTTTTTCCTCTGCATTTTGTTCTTCCTCTGTGTTTTGTTATGGAAGCTGCTGTTGTTTAGCAACAGCCCTGCTGAATTCCTCACCCTGGGGACCGGTGGTGGAACCACAAACGTAACCAGGTGCTCCCCAGCTCTCTGCTTCTACTCCAGTGCTCAGAAATGAGCAAAAGAGCTGGTCTACAACAGCAAGAATGACAAAAAAACCTGAGAAATTAGTCTCTCTAGATAGTCTCATTAAGCGTATCGCAGCATCCCTTAATAGCATGATACAAGACCTCTCACTGGGGAGGATATGTGCTCCCTAGGAGCTGTGGCTAAGCAGAGGAATGCCAGTGAAGCATCTTCTGTCAGAGATTGCAAGTATCAGTAAGATTCAGCTGCTTCGTAGCGACAGGACCTGTGCTTTCCACTTGGAGCACCTGGGTTTCTCCTTTAAAATTAGGATGAAAGAAGTTAGTTATTTTGCTGGAGAAAGCTTTGTGTGGGAGTATTTTCTGAAAGACTGCAAAGGGCCTGAAAGCAAAATAGCAATTGTCTGCTACAAGAGTTAACCTCACAAGCCATCCGCACTCTAACAGAATCACAGAATCACACAGAATCCCAGAACGTGAGGGATTGGAAGGGACCTCCAAAGCTCATCCAGTCCAATCCCCCTGCCGGAGCAGGAACACCCAGATGAGGTTACACAGGAAGGCGTCCAGGCGGGTTTTGAATGTCTGCAGAGAAGGAGACTCCACAACCTCTCTGGGCAGCCTGGGCCAGGGCTCTGTCACCCTCACTGAGAAGAAGTTTCTTCTCCAATTGAAGTGGAACCTCCTGTGTTCCAGTTTGTGTCCGTTACCCCTTGTCCTATCATTGTTTGTCACCGAGAAGAGCCTGGCTCCATCCTCGTGACACTCACCCTTTAAATATTTATAAACATGAATGAGGTCTCCCCTCAGTCTCCTCTTCTGCAAACTAAAGAGACCCAGGTCCAAAGGAAAGCTCTCTGCCTTATCCTAGCTCAATTTCAGCATAAAGTGCTCATGCAATATTCAACAAAAATGGCAATTGCAGTTATCTGAGCAAAACTGGCTTTCTGAGATACCAGCTCCCTCTATTTTACAGGATTTAAGCTCCCTGCTTAGCCTGTCACACAGGAAGCATCCTTAAGTTCAATGGTACAAGACCTGAGTACAGATTCAGGATGAATGAATCATAGCCTCAGCATTTGGCTGCAAGACAGCACAGCTTTACAGGAACAATGCTCTTTGCTTGTCTCAGCTTTGTAAGGCTTCCTAGCGTTATGAAATGCTTGGCTGCAAGACAGCACAGCTTTACAGGAACGATGCTCTTTGCTTGTCTCAGCTTTGTAAGGTTTCCCAGCGTTATGAAATGTGGAGGGAACATCCAGTGCCTCCCTGTGGTACCTGAATGGAAACCTCCAGGCAGCAGCTTGTAATTTTTACTGGAGTCACTCTGATTCCTCTGCAGAATACTCTCCCCAGCTACCAAAATCTTCTCCTTGCACCTCTACAGTTTCCCACCAGCACTCCGCTGTCTCCAAATTCTCCTTGCAATGTTGCTAATTCTCCTCATTCCCAAACCCCTCCGCACCTCATACAGCTCCTAGCCCTCTACTTGTTTTCCTGGTTGCCGTTTATCTGGCTTAGAGCTCTCTGTAAGCTAATTTGTTATTTGGAGCATGTGCTGATAGACTCACTGGCCTTGAGAACAGATAAGGACACAGATTTATGGTTTTCCTACAGGCAGCAGTTGTTTGCTATCTCCTATTTCCACAAAACAACTTTAATTCTTGAGGGATGAGGAAACAGAACAAGTGTTGAGGGGTCAGGCAGACATACAGATGTCAAGTTAATGTCAGCTGTGTTTCCTTGAAGAAACTGAAATAACAAATCTTGAACAGCACAGAGACGTGACCACAACATTCACTTCTCATGGGATATGAAAGAGAAAAATATCAAATCATCTGCTGGTATAACAGGCGTCTACAGAACTAGGACGGTACCAGTGTTGTTTTAAATATTTATTGAATCTAGTATCTCATGCAAGTTATATGTCTTAGCTTTGTGACTGGCAGGTTAAAATACTGCTGTGCAGATAAAAGAAAGATGTTAGAACCAGAGTCATATAAGACAAACTGACAGAAGTGTGTGTTACCTGTGAATAACTACACCAGGAGTGCCTTAACTTGTCCCCCGGGTGGTTGTACAATATGTTACTTTTATCTGCTCCACAGATCACTTCCAAGGCTGCCAGGAAGGCCATCCACACAACGAGGTGCATGCACTAATAAGCCAGTGTAGAAAACCTGCGTAGACAACTGCTGTGGTTTAACTCCAGCTGGCAACTCAGCCCCACACGGCCACTCACTCACTCAGCATTCCCCCTGGTGGGATGGGGGAGAGAATTGGAAGGGTAAAAGAGAAAACTCCTGGGTTGAGATGATGACA